CAAAATTTACAGGAATGAGCAGTACATCCGCTTCAGTGAGTAGTTCCTGAACCTTTGTCTTCATTTTTTCACTCATAGATTTCTTCTTCTTTGACGCCGAGGCTGCCTCGACACCGACGATGCGAACGCCGGTGCCCGTCCTGTACAATCTCGCGCAAAAAGCCAAAATCAGCGCATCATTAGCCCATTGGGGCGGCTTGAGACGGTACAGCATCGCGTAGTGGTAATCGTTGCCGTCAATTGGGATGGTATCTTGGGGATAGGCGCGAGCAATTGCCTCTGCCATGCTCTGAAGTGTCGATTGTTGTGCTGCTGGTATGGCGCTGGCTGCATCCTGTGTTAACCATTTGGTAAACGCCATTCCATCATCACACGAACGCTTCACGTTTGCTAAGTATGCCATGGCCTCAATCTGTTCGCGTGAAAATGTTCCGATACCCGCGATGTAGACACACTCGATCTCCGGGTTTTGTCCGTTGCTGTCCATGATTTGTCCAGGTATTGTAGATGTTTCTTCGTCTTTTTGTGTAGTTTGACTCTGGGTGAGTACATCGATGGCTGTTTCATTGGTGTTGCTCACAGGCAGCACGGCAACGCACTTGTCCAACAGTTTGGGTGGAAGTAGGTAGAACGCGTTTTCATTCAGCACAGGCGCACTCTCTCTAGTGTACTTGGGTTTCTTGCTACCCGCGTTGTTGTACTTGGTTTGGAGTGGCAGAACACGACGTAGAGTGTCTTGAAGTGGAGGCTTCTCAAGTTGAAGACTGCGCGCAAGTTGTATTAATGTCACCTCTCCAAGACATCTTCTATGGGCTTCTGACTCGTTAAACAACGCTCGTTTCTTCTTGTCGTCTGCTTCTCTCTCCTTTCTGTTCAACCGGGGCCTACCAGACTTCGCAGCTTTGGGGTTCAGACGGATGCGCAATCCACTTTCAGTATTTTTCTCTTCGTTGTCATCAGGAGTGGTCTCAAGCGCAAGCTGCTCCATTTCGGGCTTGGTTCCGGTTCGATTTCGACTGGTTGTCACTGGAGAGGTCACTTCATCTGTTTCTGTTTCTTCTCTCGTGACTGGAACCTTCGTTTTTTCAACCTTTACACGTTTGCGCTGCCTAATGTTCCTCCATTGTTGCACGACGAAGTCTAAATGCTCACGGTACTCGTCGTCATCAGAGATATCGGCTAGCTCACTGCATATAGCCTGGAACGCGCTGACTGCCTCCTTGTACTTAACATTAGCGTCAAGCACCTTGTGTTTCGCCTCCCCTGGTTTAAACTCATTAAGCACAAAAGTCCGCGGAGTCATCGGTTGTTCAGCAGGATGTAACCATCTAAATGAATGACATGTCAGACCCTCAGTACAACATCAATATTGGATATTACATGGACAACTCACGGCTTATACGTGGATAAATTGTGAGTTAACCCACCTTTCATCGATGCAACTCAGCGGTATTACGCTTCCTGGGGCGTTACTTCACTTCCGAAACGCGATCGCGTGTTGACAAGGCAGACGCATTGCAGAAGCAAACGAGCAAGTGCAGCTCCACGTTTTCAAATCCACAGCATGCGTCTTGTGTTTACCCGTCACCTCCACGAAGCCTGGATTTGACTTTAAGTCGAAATTGAACTTGTCGACCTTTGAGCATGCCATTACGTACTCCTTCTCCACGTGTGTTGCTACGAAATGCGTCGTAAAGCGCAAAACTTCGCACATCTCCTCGTCGTAGTTGCGGTTGACACGTAACCCGATCCTAGTCTTGTCGAACACGTATTCACTGGAAGTCCTGGCATCAGCACCCACAAGGGTCTTCACGGTGTCCGTCATGGTCATGTTGGAGTTTACCCCGTCCTTAAAATGCCCAAACCAATTCTCTAAATGGTTGTTCGTGTGGACGCGCAAATGTGCCAACCGTGAGCGTTGGTACATGACCCACATCTCCGTACAAGTGTTCCAGTTTTCATCCATGTAGTTGTAAAATGCCATATATCCAGTCCTAGTGCAAAGTGCCTTCATGGAGGTCCAATTGGTCTCGTAGATCTCTGAACTTAAGGCATATACCATGTTGTGGACTAATGCGTCGATGGCGTCGTGATCGTCCGACGAAAGTTTACCATATTCTGGCTTCCTGGACGCTGTGCGGAGATATTTGATGACGTGAAAGACGCAAATCAACACGCGCGACTTAGGGAAGTACCGACGCAACACGCGGATCTCATTCAGATCTTTGTCGACCATTATAACTTGAACCTTGTCGCCAATCTTATCGTCAATCCGAAATAGATGATCCAGCGCTCGGGACATCTGCCAATCGGCGTTTCGTTCGAGCAAAGACTGTTGTACAGGCTGCCCACGCCCATTGTCGTCTATCATCATGAAGGTACAAAGCTGGTAGTTGTATCTAATGCACATTACATGGACAAGAATCGCACAATACATGGACATGACATTAAAATAAGCATGGACAATACACGGACAAATAATTGCACAATACATGGGAGGACTTACCGATTCGTTTTGTGGGTACAGTCCACAAGCAAAAGCTCTGGAAACCTAGTAACCATGTCGCGCATATGTCTGGAAGTCATACTGATCACACCAGAGTGTCCCGCATCAGTTTCGTCCACCGTGACTACGTTACCGTCAATAGCTGCGAATTCCGCGAGAGTTGCGGCGCAAGCTTCGTCGTCATTCAACCCTCCTCTTATCTCTGCTTTAACACGTTGCACAATGTTGTCCACATCCTTCTTGACGAGGTTCTCGCCTCTCCCCAGAAGATACTCATAGATGCGTGCGCGCTTTCTACCGTACATCACCATGCTGTCCACAGCATCCTTCGTGTCCGTGTCGTCCAACCTACGGTTCTCCGCGTACGTCTTGAACTGCGCTGTCCCCACCGCATGGTTGTGCTGGTACACACCGTTCTTCACGCGAAGGCAGCATAAGCCGTCAACTTGCACGAGCTGCACCACAAATCGAAATGGACAACCGCATCCTCGGACGAAGTGCTTGGTTCGCAATCCGCTGCTCCTGTCTTTTGCTGGCCAGCCATGTGTGCAGATGTATGTGCGTTGGTAAGCACCCCACGTCTCTGGTACGTACGGAACATCCATTCCCTGCTTTGCTGCCGCTGTTTGACCCAGCCGCTTGTTTCTCAATACGCAACTAAGCGTTGACTGGATGCGGATGACCTGGCGGGACTTTACCGAGTAAGCCTTCAAATACTCATTCCACGCCGACCAGCTCGGATACGTCACGTCTGCGGGGCCCTCCACAAGGGAGGGAGAGTCTACGACCTGGACAATACATGGACGCTTGAAATCGTCCGTGTCAGGCGAGGCGTCGTCCGAGTTTGCAGCCGCGCCGGAGGCTGCGGAAGCCGTGGTGTCGATATCTGAAGAGGAGTCGGACGATCCACCCTGTATTTACAAATAGATAACGCACGGTTAGAAACACGTTCACAGAGACCACAAACAGCAAGATAACGCACCTCAGACGTCGCGGAAGCGGGTAGACTGAGCGACATGGCCGGCGATTGCAGCAACGGTTGATCTCGTGACGTAGGCTGCGGCGTGCAGGTAACGGAGCGGCGGCGGCGGCAATGCTCGAAGGGGGGCGAGTTTGGGTTTGAAAAGCAAATGAAAGGCTGGTGTGATTGGTACAACTACCGGTATACAGTATTGTACCGGTATTAACTACATAGATCACATCGTGGACAATACACGGATGAGAGTTGGACAATAATTGCACTCAACGACTGGGTTGTTTTTATAAATTACCGAATGAAAATATTTTACATCATGGACATTACATGGAGTATTACATGGAAAATAAGCGGATTTGACGCATGGACTGTAGCTTTTCCGTTTAAAAATCCGAAAAATATAGTTTGTGGTTAGGTTAAAGTCGGTATTTTGGATTGTACTTTTTCTACAAAAACAGCTGGTGGATATAGGCACTTTCATTATGTATTCATCGTCCATTTGCAGTAGGGAACGATTGCGACGAAATTCACTTATAGATTCTGTTCGTGTTGGCATCACAATCGCAGAGCATTAAATTCTGTTTTTATTTGTGTTTTTGTGCGGTTGAAAAGGTCTGCAAACTTTGTGGTCTGTGAATTCGCCAGCACCTTATTAATGTTTGGTGGTTGGTGGTATAACTGTGCTTGGACATTCTCCATTCACTCGAAAGCTTGTACTCAGCTTTATCATTCAATGGGAGCATCGATCTATAAACCTCCGTGTGTGAACAAGTGCAACAACAGCATCGGACTTCCAAAACATCTTACATATCTAACCCGCACGACCCCCCCCCCCTTCCTAGTTCTATCTCCCAGACTCATCGTTGCCAACGAGTCTACTTTAGTAGTCTGAATTTCAGCCCCAAATTGAGGCGGCTTTCAGACTCTGAAAGCCGTCTCAATTTGGGGCTCAAAGTTTGAGCCAAACCCATTCGAACAGCAAATCTTACACATCTTACCATCGTGCATGTAAAAAATTGGTACCGATATCATGCACGGCGTACAGGAATGAAAATCGTCAGCTTGGATGGCTATCCTAGCTATTACTCGCGTGCTCGCATTGTCATCGCCACAACGCATTCCTCCGCTTGACGTGTCCAAACCAATCTTGCTGTCGAAACAGGTTCAATACAGTTCACGCAAATGCTCGGACACAAGACCGACACAGTGATAAGCGTTCAGGCGACAGAAGACACCGGTGCTCGCAATGGCACGACACACACAGACCGAGTGGAACCGAATACCACCGACCTTATGTCCCTTGTCAAGTCAAGCCAAGATACCAGTAACCTGCAAAGAGACCCGAGAGAGTCTCGCGTGTCACCTATCGCCAAAATCCTCTTCCTCGACGGTGTACGTGGGGCTGCTGTCATCTTTGTCGTCACACAACACACCGGATACATGCACGACATCTTCATGGGTGCTGTCGGAGTCGACGCCTTCTTCGTGCTCTCCTCGTTTCTGCTGACCATGATCTTCATGAAGAAAAGCATCAAGCTCCTTGCCGAGAGCGCGTCGTACCGCAAGTGGGGGTACACGTTGGCCGACTATTTCTCCAAGCGCTTCTTCCGCGTGTACCCGCTGTTTGCTCTCTTGTCGATCGCGCTGTGGCTCATGCCGTTCGAGTACAAACACCGCTATTATCTGGTGAAACAGCCCGAAGATTTCAACCTCTTCAAGACACTCACGTTTCATCCGGAGCACCGACACTACCTCATGTGGACACTGCCGTTGGAGATCTCGTACTATTTCATCTTGCCTGCTTTCGTGCTGACTGTTCTGAAACTGGGTCACTTCTGGTGGATGGCATTTGTGCCCTTGTACGTCTGGATGATTCACGAGGGTCTGTACACGACTCGAGACAGCTTCTACCGTCAGCCACTGAGCATGCACCTGCCGACGTTTGTGGCGGGGTCTATGGCGGCGATCATTTTCGTGAAGCTGGAAGCGTGGATCAAAGCAACGAGTTTCAAGTTCCGTACTCTCCATGTCGTCGCTCTTCCGGTCGTTGAGGCCATTTTGATCGCAGTCTACCTCAGTGTGGTCTTCCGTGGACTTTTCTTCAATTGGTTGGGCATGCCATTGCCACCATCCACGAGATACATCATGCCGTTCACGAGTGTCAAGTTGTCTCTGCTGATAGTCATCGAGATGGTCCGGCCGTCCACGGTCTCCCAGGTCTTCGAGTGGATCGTGCTGCGGTACTTGGGCAAGATCAGCTTTTCCGTGTACTTGCTGCACGTGTTTGTGATCTTCACGCCTCCGATCAAGCAGATGCCGAACTACTATGACAAGACGTTCGCCGTGTTTGGTCTTGTGATTTTGTTAGCGACGGCGTCGTACCACTTAGTGGAGTATCCGTCCCAACTACTGGCACAGAGACTCTCCCGGATGTTTAGTCGACTCGCGTCGTACGAGCATGAGAAGATCGAAACGGACTTCGACGCGTCATCTGAATCGAGGAAGACAACATCAACCCTAAAGGAGAAAGTAAGACTATCATCCACGAACTGAAGTACTCTGTAGTATTTCCATGTTTAAATTGGTTAAAAATATTAAAGGAGTTTTTTTTTGTGAGTCGTGAGTATCATATTTCTATTGATAAAGGACAACTGCAGTGGAAGCGTCGGTTGGCCTCTTGTGCGCCACGTACACGTATAAAATACCGCGGTTACTGCTGGATCTGGTGCAACAGAAGCTCGACAGGCAGCAAACTCGAGTCGTTGGTAAGCACAACATCAAAGCGTTGCAGGTACAGATCCAGTTTCTCGTCTGCCCCGTCGTTGAGGAATCCAATGCGGACGATTTCTTCTTCCTTAAAGTCCAATCCGTTGGCCATATTCGCGTCACCCAGCGAGTCTCCCAGCAGCAAAATGTTGTGGCGCTTTTCCAGTCGGCATTGCTTCCAGAAGTCCGTCTCCACGATCGCACTCGCGTTCTTGTTCAAGCTGTGAATAAGCTGCAGCGACAAAAGTAACCGTGAACAAAAGAAGCTACATACCGTACTTTTGTCTAGAAATTTTGGTCGTACCGTTCCATCAAAGCCCTCAACCTTGTCGTTTTCATCGAAGCGCATCATGTTGGAGATGACGTGAACATTCTTCGGAGGCGTCTTGGTTGCCGTCTTCGCATACTCCTTGTTCAACACGGCGTGGATCACGTCGTAGAGCCCGGCGGAGAAAATAAGCGTGGGCACATTCTCTCTTGCCAACAGGTCGAAGATCTCCATGAAACCCTCTCGCAGCGTGATGTCGCTCTCCTCCACCGCCTTCTCGACAGCACTCTTGGAAACGCCGTGCTGGATCATGAGCTCGTGCGTCCTCGTCCACCATTTGATCATGAACGGAAGTTTCTCCTCCTTCGAGAGTTGCGCTGATTGTTCGATCGGGAAATATTTCTCAAAGATCTCGCGCGCCACCGTCTTTGCTTGTGGTCCCAGCGCCTCGCTCTCCATCAGGAGGCTGTGACTGCTCAGAGCTTGGTCGTCTGGTAAAAAAAAAACAGTTTTGTTGCATATTCTTTTAGGTTAATACGTTTTTTTACCGTACTCATTAACAATTCACTGTGCACGTGCCTGTGGGTTTGTAGGCGGGAGTGAGCGTGTAGTCGAAGTCGGCGATGACGATGAGTTTGTCCAGTCGGTCGGTGGAAAATTTCTTCCACTTGCGGGCGAACGCGTCTATGGTGACAGAAATGCATGAAGGTCAGCCAATGCAATTATTGAGAGGAAGATTTCGTGGTCGTGCCTGGATCGCGGACAAACATCATGGGCTTTCCTGGCGGTCGGCGGTGGCTGGAACTCGATTCAGAGCGCGCTGTGTTGGAGTCTCCACGGCAGCTCATCGCAACACCCGCGCCAGCGAGGGCCACGCCAGCGGAGAAGAGAGGCGAAGCTCGAGTGAGGTGGCGGAGACTGAACATGATGCGTGTCAAAATAATGTCATAATGAAGTACTGCTCGAAGCAAATAGAAAAAAAAACATGTTTTGCTTTTTTTCAACTGCATGTATTAATACGCTGGTGGCATAATCGCAGAGAAGAAATTATACTACCGACTGGAATAAAACAGATATAGTAGTATCGTAAAAAGGAAACTATTAATACTTTATCTCCTTCTCATTCTTCGAAGAATTTAGAAGTATGAAGTAGTACTACGTTGAACTTCGTAGTAGATGTTTATCCTGGATAAATTATCATGCAAACTAATAAGATTACCGGTAAAGTAAAATCTAAGAAAACAATTTTCCTCAGTCATGCACGACTATCACAAAATAGTACAATATCAGTCATTTTTTTACGGATACTCTTCCTCATAGACAAGCTTCGAGTCGAAGCTATTGAGTGTAATATTATTTTTTCTGTCGTCTACGAGTTTGTAGATAGACGTTGTGGTGACCGAGTGTCGTCTGCTTTGGAGGCAGAATGGGACGCTGAGATCGCTGGCGTTGCCACCACGTGTGATTGGTGGGGGCTATGTGTGTGGCCTGCATGGGGCGGTGGGGGTACGGGGCCTCGTCGTCGAACAACCACAACACCATTGGACGAAATGATCGAATGGTGAGAAGGTGGGTGGGCTGGTATGGGGTCATGAATACTACGATAGGGTGGAGCTGCAACTTCATTGGAATGCCGTCGTGTAGCGGTGGAAGGTGGAAATTCTCGCCTCGGTGGATGTGCTGGTTGTACAAGTGGTCGGAGAGCTACCATACCGTTGCTGACTGTAACGCGACTGTTGCTCTGTGGTTTCCTGGCTGTGAGCACTCCAGAGTGACGATGGTCACGCGGTGGATTAGGTGCGATCGGCAGAAACCCTGAGCCAGACGACACTGCTGATGAATTGCTTATCATCACAAGGTTGCGACCGCCACGCACCGAACTTGGTCGTTGCGTGGACCCTGATCCACTAGCGTGTGGTGGAGCATTTGCCGGTGTGACTACACGCAGAGAAGAAGCTTTTTGGGTCTCTGAATGTTGCTGGTGCTGGGGTGGGTGATGAGGGTTTGATCTGCGTCTCGGGCTTTCCTGGACGCCGTGGGAACCTGAGTTCTGACGAAGCGGTTTCCCAGAAACCTCAATACGTTTACTTGTTCCAGTAGCAGCAGAACTTACGTCACTTCCACCTGTTCGAACGGTGGAATCCTGTTGTCGATTACTCTCACGACGAGCTGCACGGTCGGTCACAACGTTAGAAGTGTTACCGGGTGTGGGTACTGGAATGGCACGATTTCGCATAATCCGTTGGAGTTTACTGTCGAGAAGGTAGTAGGACGCCGTGACGCGGTTGAATAGATTCTTTGATAATGCCGACTGCACCTCATCCCCCGGCAATCCCAGTGATTCCAATTGACTTAATACAAGTTTGTGCCGTGTCTTGAGCTCGTCACTGTTAGCTCCCCCGCCCACATCGTAGCCGGATATGTCGGGCTTTTGCACACCAGCCAGCCACGGGTGCTGCAAGATCTTGTCTACAGTGTAGCGTTTCTCGGGGTCCGTCTCAAGAATGCGACGGATTAGGTCTTGCACATTCGCCGATAAAAACGTCGGCATCTTGTAGTTAGCACTTAAAATCTTCTTGTAAAGCATGTTGGTGTTGCTATCCTCGAACGGAAGAAAGCCGCAAACCATCGCAAAGAGCACCACACCCAGACTCCACATGTCAGCAATGGGGCCGCGATACAGTCGTCCTTGGATCATCTCGGGAGCAGCATAGCAAGGCGAACCGCAGGCTGTACGCAGCAGACGTCCACCGTCGTGGGTGTTACTTAAGCCAAAGTCCACAATCTTCACAAGAAGTGTCGAGGGATCCGTAGCATTGTGGCGATTGGACTGGAGCAGCAAGTTTTCCGGTTTCAAGTCGCGATGAGTCACTTCGTTTGAGTGCAAATACGCGAGTCCTTCTACAATCTGGCGGAAGAGAAAGGCGGCCTCAGGCTCGCGAATGCGATGATGTGCAACGATGTACTCGAACATTTCCCCTCCGTCGATGTGTTCCATAATGAGAAAGATCCGATCTGGAGAATCGATGACCTCGTACAGTTGGATTACGTTCTGATGCCGATTGCGCTTGAGAATTTTAATCTCGCGTGCAACTCGCTCCACATCTGCCGCCAGGACAATTCGTTTCTTTTCTAAAATTTTCACGGCAACTTTTTCACCGGTCGGCAAGTGTAACCCGAGCTTGACCTTGCCAAACGTACCCTTGCCAATGGTCTCACCCAACACGTACTCTCCGACCACGTCACCATTGTTCTCTCCACTTGCATTGGATGTGGCATTTCCTGTAGTCGCAGAAGATGTCGATGCTGTGGAAGCCTCCGTCGCTACTCTCTCGGGTTCTCGTCGCTGTTGCTGCTTGTCCTGGTCCCCTACAGTTTTCGAGTTTGATGGCACTCCTTCTGCCTGTTGCTGCTTCTGTCTAGTAGGCGAAGATTTGTCGGGAATGTTCGTCTTTCGCCCTGGAGACTCGGGCGTGGGCGGAACGGAGGGGTTCATGACCGCAGTATTTCCCTTATTTGTGTTATTCGCTGTCATCTCCTCTCAGCCTCAGCGCTTCCTAGCAAGTTAGTGGATTGTGTTGGTAAGGAGTTGCTCCGGTTTCACCGGCGGAGGGCGACAATATCCTCGCACGGCAGCACCCACGGCAACTGCGGAGGGCAAGACCTGTAATACCCAGAGCCAGCAGGCGACAAGAATCACTGCTCTATCACTGCACTGCAGCAAAGCACACAACGCCACAATCGGCTCGGATCGCCAGAATAGGACACGAGTTTTGTCCCAACCACCATTTTCGCAACGGTGATCGCTATTAATACGCGTGTTATCGCTCTACTCCTTCCTGGTGGACACTGCTGTTATCTGCTCTATCAACATTTGCACTGGCACGAGACTCGCGTCGTCGGTGAACACGACATCGTAGAGTTCGAGATACTCCTCCAAAGCTTCGTCCACCTTCAAGTTGAGGAAGCCAATCCGGATGATCTCGTCGGCGTCCAAGCCATCGGCCATGCGTACGTCGCCTCGCGAGTCACCGAGCAGAAGAACGTTGCGACGTTTGTCAAGCTGACACTCTTTCCAGTATGGCGAGTCCAGCAACGCATGCGCCGTCTTGGTGAGCGGGTGAATGACCGGACCGTCGAAGCGTTCGATGCGGCCTTTTGCGTCGAAATGCATCATGTTGGACACGACGTGCACGTTGTCGGGTGTGAACTTTTGTTCGTCGGGGATCTCCTCAGCTGTGATGTGCGTGCAGTTATGCTCCGCTGCAAACTCCTTTTCCAAGGCGGCGTGGATCACGTCGTAGAGTCCGGCAGAGAAGACGAGCGTCGGCACTTGCTGGTCGTGTAAAAGTCTAAAGAGCGAGTGGAATCCTGGACGGAAACTGAGGGACCCCGACGCCACTGCTGTCTTGACCTGATCCTTGGAGAGTTGATACTCGACTAGCAGCGAGTGGACGCTCTCCCACCATTTGGCCAGGAAAGGGAATTTCTCCTCGGCTGAGAGGTTTGAAGAGGTTTCCACGGGGTAGTAACGAGCGAAGAGTTTCTGGTGAGCAGTTGCCACTTCGGGTGGCAAGGCGCTGCTGGTCATGGGCAGGCCGTGACTACTGTTTTCTTGCTCCAAAGGTTTTTGGGGGTCGCTCTGCGGCTTGTAGTACGGTGTCAAGGTGCGGTCGAAGTCGGCGATCACCAGGAGCTGCTCTGGACCGTCCTCGACAAACTTTTTCATCTTGTGGGCGAAGGCATCTGGCAAGTTTGGCGCCGTTTAGATAAAAATCATTAAAATGACAATCATTGCCACAAACACTCTTCGTACCAGGATCTCTGATGATCATTCGAGGGGTGCGACCGTGGTGTCCGTCGTTGTAGGACAGCGCGTGGGTGGACGAAGCTGGGGAGGAATTCGCTGCGGTAGCGCTGAACAAGACGAACGAGGCACCGGCAGCAGCGCAAAGCGAGCGGGGGAGGAGATGACGCCAAGTCATGGTCGAAGAAGAAACAACAATGGCGAAAACGAAATGGGGCGAATTGGCAAGTCGGTGCCTGTGGCAAATTGTCACAGGGATGTCAGCCAAAAAGTGAAAGTTTTTTGTCAGCCAACGATGGATGCCACTACAAAATGCAAAATTGTCTACAGGTTGATCTCTTCTATCTCTTCGCCTGAGGTTTTGCGCCTTGTTTCCTTTTGTCGATTTGCCAAGATTGCCAGCGAGAGACTTCGTTTCGATCCCCCAGACGACTTCTGCTTCCCACCGATTGCTGGAGACGAAGTTCGGGACAGTCGAGACGAAGCTGTTCGAGACGATGGTCTGGTTTTCTCGCCCTCTTCGTCGCTATCAATACGTAAACAAGCGGTGTCGCTCACGAGCTACATGCAGAGCTTCTCAATGGAGCCCAAAGTCTTTTCCAGATCCTGCATCCGCTTGGTTTTGAGCCGATTACTCTCCGCCAAAGCCTCGAGTCGAGCAGCGACGTCTTCGTCCACCGTGTGCCGCAAATGTTCGATCTGAGACTGTTGCAACTCGACCCGTCGGCTTACGCGCATTCGGTCTTCCGCTTCCAGTAACTCACTAGCTACCTGTCTCTTTACATGACGCGTCAACTTGCGAGATGCCGTCTCACATGGTTGCGGCCACTTGTTGCCGGTCTTAGGCAACATGATGAGAGGGTCCACTTTCGTGAAATTCACACCATTGTTTCCATTACGGAATTCGGCAATGACACGTTTCGCATCTGCCACAAGCAGTTTAAATGCTGGCGAGAATCCCTTTGAGAATGGATATTTGCGAAGTTGCTCCATTTCACGTCGAGCAGCTTGCAATGCCCGCTCTTCGCTGGGAGAAATATCGGCATTGGCATCAACCACATCTCCAGATTCGTCCCAGCCCATGACGCGATCATTCGCAGCCGTCGCTAGCTCTTCGTCTTCCTCTTCTTGTTCAGTGATTGTCTGCATATACGCGTCGTTGAGAATGGCCAGGAAAACGTTCACCAAGATGAGCAGCAACAGCAAATAGTACAAAATGTAGAAAACGGGACCTGCCACTCGATGGGAATCCGCCATGCCCGCGTAATCCAGCTCTCCAGCCACAGCTTGCAATAGTGTTACGATTGCCACACCAAGAGAGCTGAAGCCACGCACATCCAGCCCAAACAGCAGTAGCCCGATCTGTGCAAATGCGCAGATACAAACCAGGAAACACACGAAGAACCAGGCCAGATCACGAGCAGCACGACCTAACATCCACAGCAAGAGACTCATGCGCTTCGATACTGTGGTGTACTGCAGAAGCTTGATCCACACCAGCGCCGCATTGATACTCTCGATAACACTTTCAGCATACAGAACAGTTGCCAGGCCTTGCAAGTTCGGAATCTCTTCCAGCGACGCCGACGTGATCGCTTTTGCAGCCGTCCCACTCATTGTTCCGTACGCGAGATCGATCGTGTAGAGTCGCACAGCGATCGTAGTCGCGAAAACAACGAGATGCATCGCTGTAAGTAGATTCCAGAGAGAGGCAGTCAAGAACCCCTTCACACCGACACGATACATTTCTTTCAGCATGCTCCACCACTGGATAAGAACATAGAGCACCACGACACCCTCCAACACAATCCGTCCCGTACTTGCCGAAGAGTAACGAAAGAGACGCAGAACTGCATCTGAGAGTTGGACAAACGCGCCACCTGAAGCTGGGAACTCGACCACAATCTCCACAATGTTGAAAAGCTGTAGATACGCGTTGTAGACGGTAAAATCCACGACCAAGGCGCGTGTAGGAAGGTCGAGGTATCTGTCGGTCTTGAGTTCTGCCAGCCTCTCACGAGAGAGTGTTCCGTTCAAACCTAGATCCACGACGTAGCCGGATCCTGGAAATGATACGCCAGTGTAGCCCCGCACACTCATCGCATGTGTCACTTTGGCACTGCTCCAGTTGTACGCGTGTACAGCGGTAGGAATCGCCCCTCCCTCCCCATTTGGGTTGGGATCTGTGCAGAGATGGATTCCAATTGGCTCCTCGTAGACACAAGTGCACTGAACTGCACACTGCGCTGTGCACTGTGAAGTGTAGCGAAACCTGTCGACACCGAACGCTTCACCGCAGATCCGTTCGCAGTCGGAATAACACGTCTGTAGATGCGTATATGTCTTCGTGACGGTGTTTAATTCCAGATCATTGAAAAATAACCTCGCTGTAGCGTAACTTATCGACGCAACGATATCTTCGCTGTTGAGAATGAGACCGTAGCCTTGTGTTTCCTCCACGTCACTGGCAAATTTCCCGTAGCAAAACGGAACAATCGTCTCGTACTCGGGAATTTGACTCAGCGATGGACACGAGCCAGGCTTCACGCGCAGAGCTCGAAGACGAACGCCGCCCAATAGGCGATTGGAGCACGCAACCACACTTCCCGTTTCAGACGATGCGGTGGTGGTAGTATCGCTTTCCTGTGCGACACCGAACACGACATCAGCAAAAGGCCCTTCAAGGAACGCCCACATCTGTGCTTGATCGCGAATTGCAGTGAAGCTGGTCGGGAGCAAGGAGCTGCTGCTAACACTGGACGAAGTCGACGTGGAGGATGCTGTGGAGACTGTCGGCACTGTGAAGGATTGGTCCACGAGTGCAGATTTTAGTCGATTGGCAAAGTAGAAAGCCTGGATGTTCTCTTCAATGACGGTCGTGGCCAGGATGAAGAGGATGAGAAACACCACGTAGCTCAAAGCTTCCACCAGACTTCCAAACGGCACTGGGTTCCTCGCTATCCTTTTAATTCTATCATCACGCTGGACTTGCATAGCTGGATCCGTCGCTACAGATGAGGCGTGCGGGTCTGGAGTTGAGGATCTTGGTGACGTCGGAGCAGCATGTGACAGCTCAGTACTCTTGCCATCACTGCCTTCCAGCTTTGCATCTTGCCCAGATTCCACCTCAGAATCGTCTCCAACACGATGTCGTCGCAGCATGTCGATGGCGTCTGCTGTGACCGATCCTGAACACCCGACTCTCTGTGTTCTGCACGAAAGGACACTCAAGGACGACGACCTAACGAACAGTCTCCATTAAACCGCCACAACAACAAGAATAATACTGCGACAAACCAGAAAAAATGTATAGCACACACATATGACAACTCAGTCTACAATGAAGCATCAATGACGCACCAGCCTGTTGCCCTGTTGCAGCCTGATCATCTCAAGCCTTTTCCGCGCTGCCAGGAGGGTGAGCCCCTCCCACAGTAGCTGGACTAGCATTAATTACAGTCTCCGTTGACGGAACTGGCGACTGCACCTTGGCCGGACTGGGCGTCATGCTGGGGTCCTTAAACTCTACGCGTCGCTTCTTCGTGGTTGTCGCATTTCCTCCTCCTGACGTCTTGGACCTCGCTTCCTCCACTAAAATATCCTTGAGCAGCTGAAACTTGGCGTGTTTTTGCTCCGTGAGCCCCTGCAGCTTCATCTCCAGCTCTTGCAGCTGTCTCTTGGCCGCTGTCACGGCGTCTTCCTGTTTTTCTGGAGTTTTAGTCTCCCCCTGTTCTTTTTCCTCACTCTTGCTCTCCTCTGCATCCTTCTCTGCAGCAGCCTCATCCGCCAGTCTTCGATGTCTGATACTGATCATCTTGCGCCAGTTCTTTTGCATGCACCGGCGGCGAATCGCACTAAGAAAAAATAAAGTCCCAGATCAGTGGCAAACATAATTTTTAAGTCAATTCTGAGCAGAACTCACCAGCGGATGGCTTCATGTTTTGCGTCGCGCAGACGAATGGGTGATTCAAGACGAAATGTGTGCGGTAGTATCGCCTCCAGATCTCTAGGGCCCGCGTACGGCACGCGCGGATTGCGCGCATAAGGTCGGCCGCTCATCTTGGCGTAAATATAATAAATGAGGACAAGCTCCTCAAGTAAAATTCAGTGACCAATCAACATACGCCTACAATGATCTCGCTTTAGTGACATCGACGCAATCTGCCCCGGCCAGAACACGCTAGAGAGAGAAAACAAACGACACCAAACGCACACAGTCGAAACCGCCTGCTCCCGCGAATAGCCCACCGCCAAGGTAGCCACTGCAGCAGGTCTAGCGCTCTCTCGTGTCCCTCGCCTCCGTCACATCGCCATGAAGATCGTCGCCATCGGTGCGTGTTTCCCCTCTCCATTGCCATCTACCATGCACTACTGTAGCAATTACATGAGCAATAAATTATTTTTATTTAAACAAAATGGATCTGACGTAATTTCGCCGTGCGTTTCGATAGAGTTGCTGCGTCAGGATGGCCAGGGCCAGGATCCGATTATTCTTTCAGCAAGCTTCGAGGTGTCTTCATTCGGCTACTTCCAGCGCTCTGGGTACGCTCCGCAGCGCAATGCTGTAATTGTCGGTAGAGGATGGGACAATCCGATTTTTCTGACTGTGATGGTGCTTATGATGCAATTGCTCCTACATATTGCAGCGTCCGGGAGATGATCAACTTCTTCAGTCGGACGTTTATCAAGCGTACGGAGCCTGGTCAGCGGCAATCCATCCAGCACGAAGAGTACAACTGCCACGTGTACGTGCGTCGCGATGGACTCTCGGGTATCGTGGTGTGTGATCAGGAGTACCCGCCGCGTGTGGCGTTTGCGCTGCTGAATAAGCTCATGGATGAGTATGACAAGTCTACAGGGTAAGTAACATGGCTACATTGCTGCCACGTCACTCCAAGGATATTAATCGATTTGTTGTCATAGTGGCAACTGGAAGACGCAGTCGGGCAACCCGCAGGAGTTTGCGGCTTTGACAACGGCTCTGGCTGAGTATCAGGATCCGTCCAAGGCCGACAAGATTTCGGCAATCCAGAAGGAGCTAGACGAGACCACCGCCGTGTTGTCCAAGACCATCGACAACGTGCTGGAGCGCGGTGAGAAGCTGGACGACCTCGTGTCCAAGTCACAGGATCTCAGCAGCCAGTCCAAGGTCTTTTACAAACAGGCCAAGAAGACCAACTCGTGCTGCGTGGTCATGTAAGAAGCTACGACGTTTGCCGATTTTCCCCCGTGGTCCCTATCCATTTCATCGATTGGGTTCTACTACAAATTGCATTTCTTCCTCTACTTTTGTGTGCTATCGTGAACAAACAAAATGCTTTTCTTGCACTTGGACGCCTATTTATTCTACTTCCGCTTAGGAGAAGCAGTCGTTTTGGCTTTCCTTCGCGGTCGAAGAGAGCGGTTCATGGCTTTACCTCTGCCTCTGCCTCTGCCCCTGCCCCGTCCTCTCCCTCTACCGGGACTTGCGGTTCTTGGTGGTGCAGCATCGCTCGACTCGTTGCTAGCTTCATCGCTGTGTTTTCGCTTCGATGCCTTCTTGGAGTCGCTTTGCACACTATCGTTGTCACCAGTCCTGGAACTTCTTCTGCTATTGGTCTCCGAGAGCTCATCGTCGCCTAAAGAAAACAATAAATGTGTCAGTTAATCGAGCGGCTCAATAGCTCCAGACTTCAGGCCCACGCACTGTCATCTTGCTGTGCACCAGAGTCTTTCCGGTGACTGTTTCCACCTCTGCCTTGATAGGAATTCTTTATCGTCTTGTGGCCTCCGCAGGTTGGACAGGAGTCGACGGGGTTTAAAGCATTGCCAGAAGGCAAACCAGCGTTTTCTCTCAGCTTGTCCAACTACACATCAACGAATTTAAGGATAGGATATAGCGTAAGTGATCGATAGGCTTTCGCAAGGCATAGCTACCGTACCTGTGACACAAGCTGGTTGATAGACTCGAGCTGATCACTTGCAAGCTGTTGCGCATCAATTCGTTGAGCTGCAAAATACATCCCAAGAGTACTTGTAAGCCACTTGGATGAGTCATATACATCGCAGATTTCGTTGACTTACCTTCAGATTTTTGCAGCTGGAAGCGTAATCGCTCGATCTCGCCCTTCATTTGCAGCGAGTTATAGCGCTCTTGCTCCCACTCGTCCATATTCTTAGGCAGATACGACGGAAGCCACTGGAGTGCATTCGGACCGACAGCAGCCACTCGCTCTGGCAGTCTACTCAGCGGACTGATCAAGAGTCCCGTGTCAAACGGGGTGATCGGGACCGTGGACGCAGGGAACTCGATCACTCGACGGTTCTTCGACTTCTTCGAGCCCGTTCCCGGCAGTGGCGTCATAATCAGTCGTCGCTTCTTGCCTCTGCGTTGACTTAATTCTTCTATAGACTCGACCGCCGATTCGTCTTCTGATGACAATTCTTCACTTCCATCGCTAGACTCAGAGTCCTCATCACTGTCGTCCAACGGATACTCAACGGCCCCGCTGAGCATACGCAGCTTGCCATTAGGCTGAACCAGCTTGCCAATCTTCTCGAAAAAGCGCACTTTCAGCTCTTCTTCGGCCTCCGCATACTTCATGTCCGATGGCAGCACTTCCACACTTTCTTCTTGAATGTATCCAACGCCACCGAAGTCCAGTTTAACCTCCAGTTGCCTTGTTTCTAGACGCAACTCGAGCACTCGACCAGTTCCGAATGGCGCACATTTCACACGATCACCGACACAAACCTCGTCAATCTCCGGGAGTTCGATGCCCTGCGCTTCCAGCGTCGCCTCAAGTCTGCTCTTCTCACGAGCGAGACGCAAGAGGCGGCTTCCTCTTGCTTCAAGCTCCGTCATAATGTCCTGCAGTGCACTCGTACGACGACGACTTGACTCCAGGCCTTTCGCAGTGTCTGCCACGTCGCGACTCAGCGCACGTGTCACGCGATCGTGCTGCTTCTTCATGCGCTTCATCTCGCCTACCTGCCACAGCAGCGTGCAGCGATGTCTCACGAAGGCTCTTTCTAAATCTTCACGCTCAATTCTCATGGCTTGAAGCTCACGTTGGGTGATGCGCACAGCACGGCGAGCAGCCGGTAAAGACTCAACAATCTCCTCTGGTGCAATAACGCCGCTAGGTCTAGAGCGACGATTCTTTAGCGCTGCAGCCAACGGCATGTCGTCTTCACTGTCGTTCTCGTCCACTAGAAACAGTCTACGATGGTCCTTATCGCCAACATTCGGACGTCCGCCAGGCAATTTAACACCCGATCGCGCTTCAAACGTCGCGAGTTGATGCTGGATGCTCTTAATGTCAACCTGCGCCTCGTGGTGTGTCAGACACGTGACGCCGTCCACCTCCGGTAACAGTCTTGGCTGGCGGTCGTAGCGCTGGCCTTCGTGCAGATGTTGCATTAAGTGCAGACTATTAGGACCCAACGGTAGCTGCTCCATCTCCCTGTACGCCTTGCGCTCGGCGTCCTGATCGTCTACAGCGTCTCTCCGCTTCTGCGGTCCGCGTCTGAAGCACAAGGATGATCAATGTCGAGCTTCCCGGAGCAAAATGAACGATCAAATAGGACGGTACATACCTTCGTTTGCCCTTCTTCATATTGTCTAGTCCCTCGGCGTCCTCAATTTCTCCAAAACCTATGGATTTATTGCCGCGAAGCTTGGCGCGGGCCTTGCCTAACAACTGATCGAACGTCTCTGTCTCAATCATAGTGCAGCACAGAGAGAGCACGCACTAGTTGCAGCTGATGCTCGTCTGTACGCGTGGCGGGATGTTGTGGCGCTGCAATGAGCACAGGAAGTTCGTGCGCAATGAGACTTGACACACGGAGGGAGAATGGCACCAATTCCCTCTTTTTATGTTTCGAACCGTGGAAGGACCACTTCAAACGTTAAAATCTACAGTTTATTTTGGAAATACTGTAGTACTGTATAGATTTTTGCAAAATGACCAGAGGTTTGTTCTGGCTCACAATTTCACCTACTGCCATGGCCGGGTGATGATGGCGGTAAGTGTTCACCTTTGGTATGGCATATGCTTTTCCATAGGATTGTTGATTTTACAATAATCGCAGTGATTAAAAAGACCGCTCTCCAAAGGCGCCGCCGCGCGGTATTTAATAGGTAAGTGCATCTGGAGTGCAGAGACTTTCAGACCGTTTCTCCGGCATGAAGCAGCAAGAAATAAGCTTCGTCAACCTAAGTTATTTATACATGTACAACCTCCATTTTGCGCACCATGTGGGGCCAGCTCCCTTTTCAGCCAATCAAAAGAAAGTGCCTCACGAACAAAGTCAGACAGAAACAAAACAGACGTAACCACGCATGATCTCCAACTCGACGCGAGAGAAGGCCAAAGCCACCAAGGCCTATCTGGAGCAGAAGTATGCGACCATGAAGCGCGAGCGCGAGGAGAGTCGTGAGCGCCGCAATACGCTGGAGCAGCAGATGGCGGCGTTACGCCTCACGGAGCGCAAGAAGGAGCAGTACCGCCAGGAGCTCCGTTCCAAGGAGCTTCAGAGCTTGCGGCATCAACGTAAGCGCTTGGCCGTTGGAGACTTCCAACCACTCGCCGTTATCGGCCGTGGTGCCTTTGGAGAGGTTCGTCTCGTGCGCAAGAGAGACAGCGGGGAGATCTTCGCGCTCAAGTCGCTCGAAAAGAGTGCAATGGTACTTAAGAACCAGGTGGGTCACGTCAAGGCTGAGCGCGATATCTTGGCCAGTGCCGACCAAGACAACAACTGGCTTGTCACGCTACACTACTCGTTCCAGGATGACCACAGACTGTATATGGTCATGGAATACTTGCCCGGTGGAGATCTCATGGGTCTGTTGATGAAGGAAGACACGCTGAATGAGGCCACAACGCGCTTCTACGCTGCGGAGATGGTGCTGGCCATCCAGTCTGTGCACGATCTGGGCTACATCCATCGCGACATGAAACCGGATAACGTGCTGCTGGATGCGCACGGACACTTAAAGCTCACAGACTTGGGATTATGCAAGAAGATGGACTCGCGAGTGGACTTGCTGCCGGTCTCGCAGCATGCTATGGACCCGGAGCAAGCTGCTGCGGCCGCTGCTGCAGCTACAACAAGAGGAGGAGGCGGCGGTAACAGCGTGGACGCGTCGCGTAGCAAGCCCTTTTCACGTAACAGGCAGGTGGCGTTCAGTACGGTCGGCACGCCCGACTACATCGCACCGGAAGTGCTGGCCCAGAAAGGATACGGAAAGGAATGCGATTGGTGGTCTATGGGTGTGATTCTCTACGAATGTCTGGTGGGCTACCCTCCGTTCTACGCGGATGAACCTGTGCAGACGTGTCGAAAGATCGTCAACTGGAAGCAGTCGTTTGGGTTCCCTCCGGAAGCCATCGCACGGCTAAGTCCGCAGTGCATGGACTTTGTCCGGAGACTTATTTGCAACTCCGAGAATCGCTTGGGTACAGGTTCCGTTGAGGAGATCAAGCGACACCCGTGGTTTAACGGGGTGGACTGGTCTACGCTGCGTTCCATTCGGGCGCCGTATATTCCTCCTGGAGGCGGTTCCCAGTTCGACTATGTGCTGAACCAGCTGCAGGTAAACAACCCCGAGGAATGCGGTCCGCAGTATCAGGAACTCGTTCGCCAGATTACATCGAACTTCGACGAGTTCACAGAGCCGTGCGAGTTGCCTGCGCCGACGCCAGTTCAAGCGTCAGCAATGGGTCGCGTTCCTCCTGCAGCGCCGATCAACGGCGCAGGCCACGACAATGGCCCAACGGCACATGAAACAGCGGGACATGCGAATGAGGGCGAGCTACCACAGGCTTTTGGGCCGGACGGCAAACCCCTGACGTTCAATAAGTTCATTGGCTACACTTACAAGCGCAAACCGCCGGTTCGAATGGCACTGAACGACGGTCTCTTTGATAACGGAGCCGCGGCTGTTGGCAACGAGGGTGACCATTCCTCTGCGCCGCTACACAGAGTTACTCCTCCTGGGAGCTATGGGGCCCACACGAACGCCGTTCCGGACTCAGCATCCAGCACGGCGGGAAGTTCCGCAGGTTACGCATCTCGTCAAAATTTGGACGGCGGCAGTGAGCGCTACGGCTACCAGTGACCAGTTAAATTGTGTAGGTAGAAGTTGCCTGTGCGGTGGATTATCTACAAAGCGTGTGTTCCATGTTAGATGTGGCCGTTGCGGACCAAGCGTTTTAGACCGTTTTCCAGTGCGTTCATTTCCGCCACCAGTCTAGATTCTGGACTCAAAGGGCACGTTGGAAGAGACCTGGACAGTGGAAGCCATTGATGAAGCTGTACTCTAGATACCGTCCACAAAGCTGTACATCCGTATATTCTATACCCTTTCAGATTTTACCCTTTAAAAGATCCATTGTTTCAAATCGATGCTTCCTCTTCACTGTTCATAACCTGCAGGAAAAGGGGTACATGTAGATGTACAACTTTGTGAGTGGCTATTGTTTCGTCAAACAGCAGATGGTGATTGGCCATCGAAGAAATTTTCGGATCGGATATCAAGCTGCAATGATCAACCCTGATGTGCTGGCGTGCGACTCCATCAACAGGGTTGTCATTCTGTGGAGCCCGACGTGCAGATTGCATTTGCTGATTTCCCTTCTTGATCGCGTTGCCAAGACCTCGCACCTTCCGCTAAAATGCAGGACATGGACCCCCAGTCGACACGAGCGCAGTTCACACAGGTGACGACACCTGGCGAGCTAGCTCCGATGCACGTGAGCAAGGTAAACCACTTGCCTTCACCGACGATGGCGATGGAGCTGGACACGCCGCGTACCTTTGAAGTGGTCGCTGGTGACGGGATCCCCACGGGCGCGTGGGCTGCTGGGCTTTTCGACTGCTTTGATAATCTCATGCCCAACTGCTTCATGGTCACCTTCTGCCCGTGCGTTGCGCTGGCGCAGCTATCGACGCGCCTGGGCGTCGCCTCTTACAAAGTGGTGTTGAGTCTTCTGCTGTTCGTGATAGTAGTGGAGCTCACCATGTTTACACTCGTGTGGACCACGGCCGAACACGACGACGACTCGAGCGACGAGTACCATGACTCGGATGACAAGGTGGTCAACGTTACCTTCGTGATCATCACGCTCATCGTGCAGATGTTGCTTTTCGTCTACATCTGGCAGCTTCGCATCAAGACGCGCACTCGCTTCCAGCTGCCAGGCAATGCGGCTACGGACTGCCTCAGCTCATGGTTCTGCTCTTGCTGCACCGTGGCACAGCTACGAACTCATGTTCGCTGCTACCAGCCAGGAGGCTGCTCGTTCGGAGCGCCCGATGTGCTTCAGGCCTACCCGGGCAAGTCGTACGCTGTGTAAAACCCACCAGCTACTGGACGCAAGTACCCGCCATTTATGTCTGCTCGCTTTATATAAGTGTCCGTTGCACAGAATATATTCCAAACCCTTTGACTACCGACACTTCTAAATTTAGACGCCTCAAGCCATCACTCAGTTATAATCAAATGAGGTTTAAGAAGCACTTTGCGATTCGTTGTCGTGAGTTCCGATGTCTGACTTCCAGAAGCCTCCGCCGACGCAGGAAACGCATGCCTACCCAACTGTGTATGCGACGCCCGTTCAGACGGTGGTGTACGTCGAGAATAATGTGCCGCAAACACGTCGGACAGCTGAGGACGAGCAAGGCGTGATGGTCGGCGCGTGGTCGGTCGATTTCTGGGGTTGCTGCGATATCCTGATCCCGAACTGCTGCATGGTGACGTTTTGTCCGTGTGTTTCACTAGCCCAGATCTCTGCGCGCTTGGGTGTTGCCCCGTATCGGCGCGTACTGGTAATTTTCCTGCTGCTTACTCTTGCTGAGGTTATCGCCGGCCTGTACCCGTCCTCTTCAAACAATGATTCGAGCTGGTGGTACAGGTCTGAGAGAGAATACTCGGGTGACGATGAAAGCGAGAGCAATCCAGTACAGTCATGGACTATCACGATTGTGAGGGCTATCTTTTTCGCGTACATTTGGCATTTACGTCAAACCACTCGCCGGTTGTTTCAAATTCCAGGAGGCCCATGCGGTGATTGCTGGTCATCATTCTGCTGCTCCTGTTGCACAATGGCGCAGATCGCTACCCATATCAAGAGCTACAAACCGGGTGATTGCAGCTTTGGGCCGCTAGACGTGCTGCCTCCGTACACCGGACAAACCACCTCGTAGATGATATCTTACGAAACCCTCCCATAATCAATAATGAAAAGACAACCTTGGATATTTAATTTATGCCTACATATGTCTAGTAACGACTCGTAACTTACGAGTCATAAGAGCCCCGCTGTTTTTCTCACGTATTACCATATTACCATACGATGCGGTAAAAGATACCTGCGTTGCTCTACGTATTACCGTATTACCATACGATGCGGTAAAAGATGCCTGCGTTGCTCTCTAACGTTACTGCAATGAAGGCAGTCTCGACCTTCCGCCCTTTGGAGCCTTCACTTCTTGATTTTCTATAAAGCCTCCAGCAGCTTCGTCTTCATCGAGTCGTCAAACTTTAACCACCATGAATCAAGCTCCCAGCACCCAGACACCAGCAGCACCCGTGGAAGCCCCGTACTGGGAACAGCAGAACGGTACTGTCCAGGCCGCCAAGCCGGGTGTAATGAAGGATCTCGAGAGTGAAGACGGTTTGACAAGAGGCCAGTGGCAAGTCGGCTTCTGGGATTGCTTCACGACTCTCATGCCCAACTGCTTCATGGTCACGTTCTGCTCGTGCGTCTCGGTGGCTCAGATTTCAGCACGTCTTGGTGTTACCACGTACTCGAAGGCCCTTATCACCTGCTTGGTGATCATCCTCGCGGAGTATGTGACTAGCGGTATCGCCGCGAGAGCAGCTTCCAGCAGCTACACAGTCGAGACGAACTACACCACGGATGGAACGTCGTACACGTATTCGACTAGCAGCGATTCTGGGGCTGCAGTTATCGTGTACCGAGGAGTCACGATTATGGTCCATGTGCTGTTTGCTCTGTTCGTGATGCACCTGCGCACGACGACTCGCGAGCGCTTCCAGATCCCCGGCAGCACTCGCAACGACTTCTTCGCTGGTTTCTGCTGCTCCTGCTGTGCTCTCGCCCAAATGGCGACCCACGTCAAGAGCTACACACCTGGAAGCTGCGAGTTTGGCCAGGTGGCGGCCACGCTGCCTCCTTACACGAAGTAGACGGGAATGGTACACGTGCATGCACTTGTTTTGTCGTTGAAATAAATAATGTGAGTGGTACTGTACCGAAAAAGTTGAAGATGTTAAGGGATCTGGGTGTCACGAAGTGAATACCCACAGCCATCACGTGCAGCTATGATCGATGGCTAATACAGCTCAGTTTCATCGACGGTGATAGTTATCACATTAGTGTATATCGCTTCTTGAGACTCACTTGCCAATCTTCCCAGTATCGCTAATCAAAAATGGACGAACAATATGTCAAGTCGAATCGCTCTGGTGAATTAGATCATGCCCCATACGCTGCGCATGTCGACACTACAGCTCCGAGTGCCCCGAGTGCTCCAGGCACAGGAAACTCCTTTGGAACTTGGAGCACCGGGTTGTTCGGCTGCTTCACCCACCCTATTCCGAACTGCGCAGTGGTCACGCTGTGCCCGTGCATTTCGGTTGCTCGAGTCGCGTCAAAGCTTGAGGTTATGGAGAAGTTTTCGGCAAAGTTCAGGCTGACCCCATACTGGTTCGCGCTCTTTTCGTCGTTTGTCGTGGTGGTGGGGCAGTATGTGATGCTAGCTCTGTTCATCAACCAAATTTCAGTCATCGTCACGAGCGACAAGGTCGTGTGGGGCTACATAAAGTACGAGTATAACCACTGGGGCGAGGACAGCACATGGTACATCTACCTCATCCTCGCTGCTGTCTGCTACGCACTCTTCTCCCTTACGGTCTAGCCAGACCGGCTGCTGCGTGCGAAGACACGCAGCCAGTTCCAGATCGGCGGAAATTGGTGCGAAGACTGTTGGTCGTCCCTGTGGTGCCCCTGCTGCACTCTGGCTCAAACTGCCACACAGGCCAAAAGCTACACACCAGGCAGTTGCACTTTTCGGCCGCCACAAGCCGATACGCTGCCTGCATACAGTCAGCAATAGCTACAGTAAGCGAGACTACGTGGTTACGATCAGAAGCCAAGCGTCGTGAACTTGCATCGAGTCACTAAAATTGCTTCTAACAACCCAAAAGGGTTGTCTTCGGCGAGCGATATCAGGCGACCTGCTCGCACGTTTCCGCCGATCGGGCGCCATATATGTGTATGTTGAAGATAACGCTAGTTATTTTCCACACTTTCCAAGCTCACATCTTTGTTATGCCTGTAATTAACAAGGGTGAATGTACCCAGCACGAGCGTTCACTGAACGCATTAAAAGTCCTTTACGTGAAAAGTCACCTGCAGCTTGACCTCGCTCATTTCTTAATTCGAAAGCTGCAGCTTTCGAATTAAGAAATGACCCCACTGCCATGGCCGAGCCGGAGCAAGCCTACGCCATCCACATCGACGACCCTAAGGGCAACAACCTCGGAGCCACGGTAGGTAAATGGGAGGTTGGCTTCTGCGACTGCTTCACGCACTGCGTGCCCAACTGCCTCATGGTCACGTGCTGCCCATGCATCTCGCTCGCCCAAATCTCGGCGCGTCTCGGCATGATGGACTATTCGCTGGCTATGGTGCTGTTCGTCCTCCTCTACGTCTTTACAGGAGGAATCGGTGCTATCGCAGGCGCAGTTTGGCTGTGGCAGGCGCGTACCAAGACCCGCGAGCGTTTCCAGATCCCTGGGAGCTGCTGCGGAGACTATTGCGCTGCTTTTTGCTGCGGATGTTGTGCGATGGCGCAGCTGGCGACGCACATCAAGAGCTACAAACCCGGAAGCTGTGACTTCCTAGCCCAGGACACGCTACCTGCATACAGCCGCTCGTAAAGCGGTCGAGCTGAAGCGGAGTACAGCTTGAAGATGGTAAAACATAGGACAGAGGACTTCGTAATGTAAATGATTTTTCCTACTGATTCTCCATGGTAGAAGACAACTGGTACTGTGGTTACTCCGGCGGAAACCAACCACTAATGACACGATACCAGCTTTAATTTCCACAGCGAGTTGCAGAGCTTATCATGTTAAGCTATGCAGCGGAGGATTTGCAGCGTGTGTTTTCCATGTTGAGAGATCATCGGGACGTTATCGATAGTGCCGTAAACCTGACATGGTTTTGATGATGCGTCCAGCGATATGAGAAAAATGAACGCTGGTTAGCCCGTGTTTTGAGTCAGCTTTCGGCATTCTGAAAGAGCTGTCACCAGAATTACTATGACGGTATAAACACGGTATCGGATGTCTTGCATCTCTCCGGACAGCAGACCATCACGAGGCAGTTGGCCACACGCGCTCGCAGAGATCGAGTTTCTCTCGTTGATTTGATCAAATTGGTAATTTAACTAACAAGAGGCTACACGATCAGCACTGGCCTCGAAGTCTCGCTTGATGCGTAACCGCCAGCTGCTCCATGATGATCACTATTTTGGAATACCTTCAGCGGCATCATGAAACCCCGTGTTATTATGCAAATTCCTACTCAGGAATCACCGACAATTGGACAATACCAGACAGTGTCTGGCAGACACGGACAAAAATAACCACCACACTTTCACGATGTCGGGTGACAATAATGGCACGCAGTTTAACACCTGAAAAAGGGAGGTGGACCTGAGCGGCTGCTGCACACACAGCGTGCCTAACTACCTCATACCATCTTGTTGCCCTTGCGCTGCCATGGCCTCCGACTTGGCATGATGGACTTTACAACTTGTTGCTTTTTGCTGCTCTTCTTTACTGGAGGTTTGGTGGGGCCAGCAATCTCGCCCTGCAAGGAGTGGAAGGAGACATGCGAGATGTAAGAAAAACCGGGCGGCAGCTGCGGAGACTGTCTGGCCTCGGATGTTGAGCGATGGCTCAAATAGCTACCCATATCAAGAGTTACGAGCCAGCTGCGATTTCGGGGCAAGGACACATTGGCACCTTACGACCATTAGAGATTCTCTAATAGAGAAGACGTCGAGCTGAATAATCTATCTGACTCTCAGCATTCATAATACGTTTATAATAGCGACATCGCGGTGCACTTCACTTTATTCTGACGCCGTGCAATAGTAAATTCACCTCCAGCTTCGTGGAGGCTCGATGGTTTACCATCGATGGCTATAGATAACTACATAGAGTTTTTAAGCGGCCTGCTTGGCGATCTCGGTCGATGTTATTTTATTGTACGAAACCATTCATCTCGTTCTGACATTGCTCAGTCTCATTGAGAAACGGCTTAGTTAGGCCATATCTGTAGTTGCCTATTGGCTAGTTTCGTACGCTGTGACTCAAGTGACGAGGAAGCACCTCATTCCAGCTTTAGCCCATTTAGGCGTACTAACTATTCCTTTGCATCCTCATTGTGCGACTCGCAAACTGGAAATTGAGATGGCCGATCTGGAAGCTGAGAAGCCCTACGCCATCGCAGTGGAGGAACCCAAGGCAGACCCGGCTGACGGCAAGTCTGCGGCTGGAGAGTTCACGGCCGGAAAATGGGAAGTCGGATTCTGTGACTGCTTCAAGCACTGCGTGCCCAACTGCCTCATGACATCGTGCTGCCCGTGCGTCACCTTAGCACAAATTTCCTCGCGTCTCGGCATGATGCCATTCAAGTTTGCCTTGCTGCTATCGATTCTGCTTCTCATTTTCCCCTGCGTCGGTTCCCTTATCTTTGCCTTGTGGATCTGGAGGGCTCGAAAGGAGGTGCGAGAGCGTTTCCAGATTCCAGGTGGGTGTTGCGGCGACTGTTTGGCCTCATGCTGCTGCGGGTGCTGCGCCATGGCTCAGATGGCCACTCACATCAAGAGTTACAAGCCTGGAAACTGCGCTTTTGGACCCCAAGACACCCTGGCTCCGTATCAGCGCGCTTAGACCGCCGACCCCCCCCCCTCCATTTCGAGAAGCTCGTATTTTGAAGGCTAATTATGAAACCATGAAATACGAAAGCTTATCTTCTTCCCACTTCCCTATTTGTATCACAAGAACCTATTTTACTACAATGGAGTGCAGCATCATAAGCTGGGGTACTTTTCTAACGTTCAAAAACCTCTAACGAAACCACGATGCAGCCCCCTTACGCTGTTCCAGTTGACGATGTCGCCAAGGTTAATGCAAACGCCGCGGAAGTTGTGGTGACCATTCCGGCTGAAGAACTGAAGCCCGACAGAGATCCGTCCGGGATCTTGCTCGGCGAATGGGAAGCACCTGCTGTACGCACTGCACCCCTAACTGCCTCATGGCAACCTGCTGCCCCTGCATTTCAGTGGCGCAAATCTCTGCTCGCCTGGGTATGACGACGTACACCTGCGCACTGCTCACTTTTGTGCTGCTGTTCTCGTTTACTGGTGGCCTCGCGCACGCGGTTCTCTTCGTGTGGATCTGGCAGCTACGACAACTGACCAGAGAACGATTTAAAATCCCGGGTGGGTGTTGTGAGGACTGTTGCGCGTCCTTTTGGTGCTCTTGCTGCACACTCGCGCAGATCGCTACACACGTCAAGAGCTACAAGCCAGGAAGCTGCGACTTCGGACCGCCAGACACATTGCCACCATACAAGAAGGCTTACGGTAGCACAACAAACTCCTTAAAATAAAATTTAACCGTTGTGCAGATGGCCGTATATGAAGGCTTATTGTGGCTTCCGATGACGAGGCGCCTCATAGTGTCCCAACAAAGATGTTGTAGTGGACAATGTCCACTGGACATGCTCATGTCCACTACAGATCGCCCATCATTGTTTAATACCCCACCAAACATCACAATCGAATTCACTCTGAAAGAACGATATCCCCGCGAACCATGGCAAAATCTAAGTCCCCGTCACTCTCGCCAACACAAAATGAAGATGATCACCCTTACGCCGTCCAAGTTAATCGCCCCATGACACCGCCAGGAACCTTTTCTCCAACACGCAAGGAAGATAATCATCTCTACGCTATCGAAGTCGATCCCCCGGTGACCCCAACAGGGAATTTTCATCACGGATCCCCACGTGCTCGAGACAATGGCGTTGGCAACATCAGGATGGGAGGCTGGGAGACGACCTCGTGCTGCGGCTGCTTCAAGCACTGCGTGCCCAATTGCTGCATGGTCACGTTTTGCCCGTGTGTGACGCACGCGCAGATTACAGCTCGCTTGGGAATGGCGTCGTATTGGTGCGCACTCGCCACACTATTTACGTTGGTGGTGCTGACCGGCGGCACGGTGCATGCGATCCTCTTCATCTGGATCTGGAAGGCGCGTGCGCTAACTCGTGAACGCTTCCAGATCCCGGGTGGCTGCTGCCGAGACTGCTGCGCCTCCCTATTTTGCCCGTGCTGCACACTTGCTCAGATCGCCACGCACATCAAGAGCTACCAACCTGGAAGCTGCGACTTCGGACCACCAGATACGCTGCCACCCTACTCGCGCACGTAGGAGATTAAGGTAGAACGAATAGCCGTAGATCTTTCGATCTAATGAGAGCAAGAACATCATAAGTCCAGCACCAATGCTTTCCATGATATTACATGGCGTGTCCTCTATCGCGAGCGCAGGGGTTAAGGGTATTTGACAAACTAGTAATATAAAGTAATAATATTACTAATGCTATTTGAGTATTAGTGCTATTAATACAGTATAGTGTGGTATTCACTATTAGTATTAGTATTACTCAGGTGAGGCGATATTATAGTAATCTGAACAGTACTATTTTACCAGAAAGCCAGTGAACAAGCAACTGCCCCTCATTGAGCACTCATCGAACCTGTGGCTGTCCTGCGTCGTTTGCCATTTCAGAAAAGAACTGGATACCGCCATTGCGATCGACCAGGATTCGACGGCTGAAGATGCCTTGTGCAGTTCATGGCTGTGTGGAAGGTCCTGAGCTCAAGACAGACTCTTGCACCGTATGCGGAAAGCCCACTCACCACCTGTGTGCAATCGGGGTATTTGAAGGAGACACGTCGTCGTTGAATGAAAGGTAATTTGCTCATTGTTGTGTCTTATTTCCACGTCTAACCCTCTTCTCTGTTGATACGCAGATTCTGCAGTCAACCATGTGTAGAGAAGATTTACCCGACCGCTAAGGACTCTACACCAGCCGTGACGACCTCTTCGACGGTCCCCGCCGCTACATCTTCTTCTACGTCGAGGAATATCTGGGCTGGATCCGACTCCGATTTCGTGCCGTCTCCTGAAGTCGCCGTGGCATCAGATACTGCGGTTGTGCGTCCAGTGAAGCGTCGGAAGGTTGCGGCGAAAGGGAAAGTGGCCAAGGTGAAGGCCATTAAACCTCCTCTGGATGGTAACCTACGTAGTGTGCTGCCTCCTCCCCCGGCCTCTCCTGTTTCTGACTTAGGGGTCCCGCTTTCATTGACACACTCAAGGAAGGTTGGTACTACTGATTCTGTCTGGGATCTAATTCATGTATTGGATAAACCCTACAGAAAGCGAAATCCGTGAAAGCCTTCCACCCAAGTGTACCGCAACATTTGTCTGCTGTGCTGTGAGAAAATTCAAGAAGCTCTCTCGTACCCTGAGCTAGACCCCATGACCAACAAAGATGTTAGAGTCGCGTACACGTGCAAGCTGATAAGGCGGTCTGTGGTTAACCATGCGGCTTTTGAAGCTTATTTCCAGTCGACGAAGGAGTCTACTAGCGTGTGGTCAGCTTTGTCTGCAGACGACTGGGTACTGGCAACCGAGATGGAAGCGGTAACGCACTTTATCGCCAACTTGGCATTGGTTGAGGTGCAAAGCGAGAATCTAGTATCTTCATACATGGTAGTATTCCGGAGACTTGCCGAGAAGAAGCTGAAATCGTTAAATTTTGACACTATGGTTATTGAAGCCCCTCGAGCAAAGAATGGGAACGAGGCAAGTCATCGACGGGTAGTAAGAAAGCTTGACCAGTTCACAGAAGCTGGGAAAACGTGCCTGCGAAGGACTCTTCTACAACTGCAGTCACGGTTCCCAAACGTGACGAGGGAGGCTATGGTGTGTATATTACTGGACCCTCGTACTAAGTCCAGCGCCAAGAAAATTGCTGCGGTTGGCAACGTCTCCCGCAAAGAGGAGAAAGCCACCTACAAAAATGGTCTGGAATTCCTTCGAGACGAGCATCGAAAAGTGTTTGCGCAGATGGCGAAGGTGGGCAAGATGCCATTATCGCAGACTTCATCGCAGAGCAGCCTACTCAGCCAGGACTTGAATTCCCCGCGGTTTCTTCTCCATCATCGACAGGCTGGGACGACGAAGACGAGCTCTTGCTCGGGGCACCCATCGTACAAGTAAGACCAGGGAGGAGGTCAAGGAGTCGGAGTTAAATGCAAGAGCGGACAGTATCATGAACGAGTGGCTCGAGATGGAGCCTGAGTGGCTCGAGATTGCACAGCGCCAAAACCCTGAGACCAAGAAGGAAGATCTGTCCTCTGCAATGACAACGGACAGTCGGACGGGTATGTGCTGGTCGCTGCTGGGGTTGTACCAACACGTAGACGTCCTGCAATGATTTCGCGACGAAGGCGAGAGCCAATGCCCTTCAATCGCGCTGCTTGCACGTATTCATCTCGGCAAGATCTTATCGTCGGCGTTTCAAGAGCGAGTGTTTTCTACGGGGGGAGTAATTATGGGGCCGCTTCGTACCAGAACAGATAGCAGGCGATCGGAGAAGCAGCTACTACTGCGGCACAACAGGAACGAGATTGTGATGATGAAGCAAGACGCGCGCAAGTCGCGTGACTCTTCGAAAGCGGTAGAATAGTACTTTGACCATTAGTACTAATAGTACTAATATCAATACCGTGATGAGATTTCAGTACTATTATTAGTATTACCGGGAAAAAAATGGCCTAGCATTACCGGTAATAGTGCTACCGCCTTTTTGGCGGTACTATTAACCCCTGGTCGAGCGTGTTGAAATGGATACATGTGCTGTAATTTCCTGAAGTGGAACGTCGTTTTATTGGTGTTTCCACACAGTCAGTGTGCGGTGCTTTGGCAAATCTTTGTGCGGTCTCATTTAGCGTTTGTATAATCGCGACCTTCGACAGCTTCCCTGCCAGGCTTGAGCTTTCTCTCCGGTCGTTCGAGTATCTCCGTCAGTCCTAAAGTCTCCACTTCAAGTTCAGAACCGTAGCGACGTCATGAAGGAGGACGTCAAGTTCCAGTTCATCTGCTTCGGCTTTGGCCAGGCTATCATGCTGCTCAACGTGGCGTCTGGCGTCTTGTCCAAGTACCTGACGCTTGAGAACGCCAGTCTGCCCACGCTACAGAGCACGTGTCTGTACGTGATACTGGGGGTGGTCTACCTCGCCGTCCGCTTCGTGCGCAAGACGCCGCTTATCGGTGTACCCTGGCGGTTCTACGTCATTTTGGCCGTCGTCGACGTGGAGGGCAACTACTTTGCCGTCAAGGCCTACAACTACGCCAACTACGCGACGCTGAGTCTCATCCTAAACATGACGGTGCCGTTCGTCACGCTCTTCTGCTACCTGTTCCTCAAGACGCGCTACTCCATCCGCCACTACGTCGGCGCGTTGATCGCTCTGTGCGGCTCCATCGTCATCTTCGTGTCTGACTACACGTCGTCCGCCAACGGAACCAGCAGTCGCGAGGTGCGTGGCGACATGTACGCACTCATCGCCGCCGCGCTCTACGCTACTTCAAACGTGATGATCCAAGCGGTAGTCAAGACGCGCAACGTCGACTCGAACATCGAAGTGCTGGGCTTCCTGGGCTTCTGGGCGTCGATCGTGTCCATTATCCAAGTTTTGATCCTCGAACGTAGTCCAATCGAGGCTGTCGACTTTACAGACCGCGTTTATGGCTACATGGCCGGCTACGTCTGTGTACTCTTCGTCTTCTACACCATCACGTCTGTCTTCCTGCGTTGGGCTGAGTCACTCATGTTCAACCTCAGTCTGCTCACGGGTCCGATCTTCACGGTCGGCGTCTCCTACCTCATCTTCGACGAAGCTGTCAACAAATGGTACTGGCTGGCGCTGGCGCTGGTGTACATTGGTCTCATCTGCTACAGCACCGCCCCTTCCCCCAAGGAGAACGTCAAAGCAACCGAAGACAAATATGTCAATGGAGACTATGGTGAGGCGCTTACACCCGACGCCACTCGCTACGCCTAGTTTTCAGCTGCAATATTTCTACTTTAATCGTCAGCGTCCTTTTGCTGTTTCTGAAGAGTTTTATCTGTAGTAGTCGGTGCCATGTTGCGCCACGAAAGAGAAAGCCAAAACCTGCGAATGCTCCAGCTTGAATTTAATTAATTTTACAATCTGTCGGCAAGCAGAATTCCTAGAATGCTGTAGCTACTGTAGACTTTTTAGAATTTGTCTCGCTTCAATGTATCCATCTTTAGGACCCTTCTCAAACCTCTTTTTCAACCAATCATAGCGCCATAAATCTCCAGCCATTCGAGCAGTTGAATCGATCCATGGACCCGCACCTGTACCAGCGAGTTCTACTGGCCGTGCAGGCAAGTCACTCGCCTCTAGCGTCGGCGAGCGACCGCCAAGCTGCCTATGCCTTCTGTGAGGAATTTAAGAGCCGCGAAGACTGCGCACTGTACGCCGTAGCGCTGTATCAGCGCCCCGGCGGCGCTGATTCTCTAGAGCTCCATACTCGCCAACACTTTGCGCTGCATGTGCTGGAGCATTACGTGCTGACCAGATGGAGCGCCTTGCCGCTTGAAGAGCAGCAGAAGATGCGCGTGGAGCTCGTAGCATTGCTACTCAGAGAGAACCAGTCCGACGCCGCAGACGACCCTGTGTTCGTGAAGGAGAAGAAGGTCTCGCTATTGGCTCAAATAGCCAAGCGACAATTCCCTCAACGCTGGCCAGACCTGCTACCCGAACTACTTAAAATCTGGCAGACTGGCAGCAGTAGACAAGTGGAACTTGTGCTGCTAATTCTACGGTCTTTAGCGGAGGATTGCGTCAGTAGCTCGTTCAACACGTCGATACCCCCAGCGAGGAGGAAGGATATTCTTCAAGGGCTAAATGTGTGTCTGCCACAGCTGTTTCCCGTAGTGTACCAGGAACTGGAGAAGCAATACGCAATTTACAAGGCAGCAACTGCAACTCCAATGCAGAAGAGCAGGAGTCAGAGACTCATCCATGCGGCGCTGGATATGCTTAAAGAATTTCTCGAGTGGATGCCGCTGGAGCGACCTGTGGACCCTGCAACAAATTTTATTATCGTTGCCGTATTGCTATTGGAGGAAAAGGAGTTTAGAGTGGCAGGAGCGCAGTGCTTGGAAGTGTACATGGCGAGAGGCTTTGGCAAGGAGAACCGAGCGATTATGCTGCAGAGCATCAGTCAGATTCTTGACAAGGTGAACACACTGGATCTGACGACACTAGAGCCCGATCTGGAGGCGAATCTGCTGTTCCACAAGAAGGTAAACGACATGTTGGTGACGTGGGGGACGTGTCAGCTGGACGTGCTGCTGTTGGACGGGCCTGGAGACCAGGAAATGGCGCTGCTGCGGGTGATTCTCCGCAACTTGTGCAAGTTATTCGCTCATCCGAGTTTGATCGTGACGGAAGCGCAGATTATTCTGTGGCTCACGGTACTGAAGAACAAGACGATCCTGAAGCAGGGAGAAGCTTTTCTAGCAGAAATTCTGGACCAGCTGCGCCAAGTCTCGTTCGATAAATACTTCAAGCTTGGCTCGCCTGAGCGTGAGAACGCAGGACCTCAAGACAGCGCTTGTGACTGCAGCAAAGAAGAGTTCGACGACCACAGCGAGTACATTGCTTACTACGGGAACTTCCGGGGACGTCTGTACGCTCTGATTCGTGTGTTGGTGCAGCTGAACCCCGCGATTGTGCTGCAATCTTTGCACGACCGTCTGGTATTCGTTCTATCTCAGTATGCTGCAGGAACAGACCACTTGAGCCCCGATCGCGGGTTTTGTACTGACCTCAGTACTGCGTATCTGTACCACGAAGGCATTTCGTCTCTGATCGACTGCATCGTCAAGCAACTGCCCGCGAATGCGATGGGAAACCCCACGAACCGTCAGGCTTTACAGGCGATTCTACAGGCCATCCTATCGTACAACACGCCCGACCCGCTGCTGAAGTTCCGTCAGCTGCTCGTATTGGCGTCGTTCGCCAAGTATTACGTTCTGGATGGCAGCACCCTTACAGCTGTCTTTGAGATGCTCTTCGCTAACATCAACTTTGTGCTGTCGGGAGAGGACGTGCACGGGAAGATGAGCAGCGGCACCATCAACGTTCGGAGACGAGCGTTGGCGTCTCTTGTGTCCATCTGCCAAGCGATCCCCGCGCACATTTTGCCAGTCTTGCCAGTGCTGTGCACGAAGGCTCAGGAGTTGTTTGCGGCGGATCGTGTGACGGATACGGAAGGTGTGATGCTGTATGAAATGCTGGTGTTGGTGTCCAACTCGATGGAGAACAGAGACGAGCGTGTGCAGTTCGTGCAGCAGATTGTGCAGGACCCGCTGTCTAAGTGGACTTCTCCTGACATGACGGCGCTCGTGAGCTCTTCGCAGAACATTGTGACCGCTATTGAAGCGGCTAGCAACGACGAAAAGTCGAAGAAACTACTCGGAATGATTATTAAAACACTCACGACGTTGTACGGCATTGCCAAGCGCGCTGGAGTGACTTTTTTACCGAAAACTACCGAGAATTCGGGCGCATTTGAAGGCGCGTGGCCTCACTTACTGCCGAACTTGTTGGCGCTTGTTCGCTCGCTCCACGGGCTCCAGGATCCGGCAGTGAAAGCTGTGGTGCTGAAAACGTCCAGTGCCTGCTGGTTGCTGAGCGTCTCAGTGGATGAAGTCGCTCAACTGCTGGGAGGGAAGAACCAGCTCGAAGAAGAAGAAGTGGCCAAGCTGCCGGTCGCCTCCAGGTGGTCCAAGTGGCACAAGAACGTGCGTGACATTTCGTACCATTTGATGGGCGTGGCGGTGGGCCAAACGAGCTTCTACACGAACCCTCAAGTGGCTTCAGTACTGCGGAATAGCATGCTCAGCGACTTGGACTTGATGGAGCATCGCCACTTGAAAGGAGCGCTGGCTTACGTGTACTTGCCGTTCCTCAAGAACTGCCCCCGAGAGCTGTATCCCTCTCTCCTTGACCCCGTTCTTTCGACGTTGTTTGGTCACTTCGCCCAGCGTTTAGCAGCCATTCTCCAGCGCTCAACTAGTGGAGATAAACCAGCGCAGACGCCGTGGAGCGCTCTGGTTGTTGGTATCGAAGACGCAAAGCAGGAGATTGCGCGCGAGAAAATGGTCATGGAGCTGACGCGTCAAGCTGTCGACTTTATCGAGTACGCTATCGATCCGAAGACTGTGGTGGGCACCGACACAGACAACCCGAAACACGTGACGAGTCCGGAAGATGCCTTCCTTCGGGACTATATTCTGACGCAGTCCGGGACGTTGCCGTTTGCTATCGGCGCAGTTTTGGTGCAGGTGATTTGCTGGAAAGACACGCTGAGTTGTCGCAAGGCGGTGGCTCTGGGTGACAAGCTGGTCAATGTTCTGCACGCCGACACCAAGTACCACGCTCTTCTCGGTCGCGATCTCTTCTCCGCTGCGCTGCAAGGAGTTCTACGCGAACATGTTGGCCACGTCAAGGAAGACGGACTTAAGTGGGAGATTATCAACTTGGCTCGTAACATTTACTGCAGACTGACGCTGGGGTTGATCCCAGTGGAAGAGTGCAAAGGAATCGATCCGTGCAACCAGCCTCTTCGTCCGGCGTCGTCGCTGTGTTCTGCTCCACGTGAGATTCTGCTTTCTCTTCCGGACGTTGCGCCTGGACAAGTGGAGGCGCTTGACACGCTGCTACGTGAGAAACACAGTATCAAGACACAAAAGAACGCGTTCAGGGAGCTGTTGGAGATGCCAATACTGGCGATTCGACGCGAACAAGCGCTTGCGTCGGGCTCAACGTCGCCGCTCGCAGGAATTCTGGGCAGCACGAGCGCGTCGGCCAAGACAATTGTCGACATTCCGGAGAAACTGGTGATCCCCAGTAGGGAGTTTGAGAACCAGATCAAGTGGCAGCAAGCGCAGAACCCGAATCTAGACACGCAGACTCTCTTCGGTGCCCAGTGAGGACGAAATAGAATTTATACGAGCAGTTTCTAGTAAATAAAAGCAGCTCACTCGAGAGTTTTCAAGACTGTGGAGCTACTAGGACGCACTTTGGGTCTGTCCGGGAGCTTGTGTCACTTTCGGAGCGTTGGCTGGCTTCTTCTGCGGCACATCTTGGTACACCATGACATCGTCGCCGATAGCGAGACCGTACTTGTCGTTGAATGCTGCGACGTCAGGCACGTCGTCTCCTTGTCGACACAAGTAGAAGGTTCTCTCTAAATGATACATGAGTGCTGGGCTGATGTAATGGAACGCCACGCTGTCAGGTGCAGCGCCTCCCTCTTTCCCCCGCACGCCGCCTATGTGCTGATGATACTGCACATACCAGTAGTTCACTCGCTTCGGGTCTGCGAAGAACACTCCTTTGGGTTTATCTGCATGCCACCGCTCGCGTCCTTGATGGTCCCGTGTATCCCACGGGTAAACGTCGTGCCACATCATGCAGAACGAGATAGACGCATCATCCGGCAGCATTTCACTGTGTCTGTCCGACAGACACGTCCAGTCGGGTAAAATGTTGACGATCTTGTCCATGTACAGGCGATTCATGACGTAGCCCGGTCCCCCAGAGTTAAACACCCAACGCTCCCATCTCGACCTCCAAATGGACTCGAGCGAGTCGTCCACGATGTAGTAGCTCACCAAGTCCTGCGTCAGATTAAACCTGTGTCCCATCTGCATGGGTTCTCGCTGGTACGTCTGCATGATCTCAGGTCTCCGGAGATAATGTCGTAGATTCTCCATAACAACGTACGCGTCGTCGTCAGCCTTGTAGAACCAGTCGTAATCGTGGCGGAAGTGCTCGTGCACGTAGCGAAGCGTGGCCTTGTGCTTCTGCCACAGATGGTTGTGGTCAGCGATGACGTCCATTTCGATGACTTCGTAGCGTTGCTCTTTCTCGGTGCCTGCCGCCACCACAATCGTGTCTGTCGTGTTGCTGAAGAACATGAGTTTGTCGCAGCGCTGGCCCCAGGTCTCGGCTACGGACTGCGCGCGGGTCTTGTGGTGCACTGAAATGGTGTTCACGAAGCAGAAGATCTTAGGATAAACGGAGTTTTCGTGTAAGTTCTGCGGTGGCGGACGCTCCGGCGTGACTTTGACCAGATCCAACGCATAGCGAGAGCGAGCGATGTCGAGGGCGCAGAGATCGGCCTTGGAAAGGCCCGTGACCGGGGGTGGAGGAAGCAACAAGTCCGAGCTTGCGGAGGACGGCGGGATGATAGTTAGGAGCTGCAAAAACTGGAGGAGAAGGACGAGATGGTGTAGAAGATGTGGGGGCGATATGGAGGACTGTGCAGCCCTGTGGTGAACGTACGGAGGCGTCATACCGACTTCTTGATGAGTATATTATAGGTCGCGACTGACGTGGCCGGGTTGTCAGTTTATCTCTGGTTGTTTGAAAACCCCAATGATATATTCAGAAATATACTGTTAAAGCTGAATAAAAAGCCCCTTTCTGTACTTTACCCCCCTTGTTTTAATTTAAGTAAGTCTGATAAAGGGGGGCATATATTAATACTATTGATAAAGGGGGGCATATATTAATACTATTAAAATTTGAGACCCTTTATCAATTTTTTTAGTTGTTCAATTAAGTATTTCATTCATTTGTTTTATTAAATCATTTTTTAAATTATAAGCATTTTGTTTTATGTCTTTTTATTTTTTTTAATTTATTTTCTTTAATTAATTTATTTTTTACAAGAAATATTCCACTTACAGCTTTTGGAATTTTATATTTAATTATATTTTTTAAAAAAATAAATTTTTTAGCTGGTTATTTCTAATCAAAAATCAATAATTGTACCGATTGAACACCTTGCGGTACTTGCGCCGAACACGTAAGGGAACGTCGTAAGTTACTGCGTAGCGTTTGTACTTGATGTTTGTATTAGTCTTGTATGGACCTGAAGGGTAGGTATATAATCTGTGAACAAGTTTTCTAGCGAATGTCGATAGTGATACGGTATTGCGTAGCAGTGACAACACATCAATGTCGTAACTTGCCACACACATTCAGCAGATGGCCAAATGTGTGCACCGTCACAAAACTCAGCTCAGATTATACGCAGAAGAAGGTACGTTGATTCAAGCAATTTGCATTCTGACAACACGAATACTAACCACTCATCAATTGAAACGCAGGCGAGTGCTACACAATACCACTATCGTTCTCGTCGTCACCGTCGTCGCTACCGTTCCCACCGTCGCTACCACGATCGCGAAGCTGGAGCTCCCGTCGTGTCTTCTTTCTTCGCCCAGCTTTCTGCCCAGGTCTGCGAAGTACAACGCGCTTCCCAAGGTTTGCTGGAATAGCTTGACCGGCTTCAAAATCGCCATGCCAGATTTCGAAGCATGTCTTGACCCCACCTTTGTACTCCCTGCGTATCTTGTGGCACAGCCAGCACTTCGCGTTATCAATTGAGCAGCGCTCACAGAAAATATCGTTGCAAATGACTTCTTTTTGCTCGTGCACAATAACGCACAAACTTTACAAAACCTCTGCCGACGCTTCTGCACTCCGCTGACGGTGACCGAGTCCTCCGATCGCTGGAGCGCATGCGTGAGGCGGACTGGTGTGCGTTTGCGTTTCTGGCTGGACGGAAGTGGTGTAGCTTCTACCCCGGCAAAATCTTCGACTTTGAGCTGCAGGAACTGGTTCTATAGGACACGTAATCACTCTGAGCGCATCATAGGTGCTGTCTTCTGTATCTTGGCTGCTTCCTTGTGCGTTATATACGAGTTCATCAACGCCAGGTCTAGGAAGCCTAAAAATAGGCTTTTGTAATTCACTTCCGACATCTCGTTAACAGTTGAAGCGAGTGTGACTGGAGGCGAAGTTAGTCGAGGCGATCAACTCCACCCATCCAGTCCTGGTAGTCGTTTACGGCGGCGGGACACTGCACTTGGATCGCACCAACCCTCTTTATTTTTCTTTCGATCGTCGAAGGAGACATCGCGGAGCCTGTACGCAGGTAATAAACATGCTCCCGATCCCACCAAATGTACGTGATCATGCTTAGGATGGCGATGGAGCGTGAAAGTGCGAAGGTGCCACGGGGAATACTCGCAGGACGAGTCTTGCTGGTCAACTGGATGTTCTTGTCAAGCCCGAGATGATTTGTCATCACAGTTCCAATAACGTATGTCTTCATACTAAGGAGCTTCACCGCAAACAGTACCGGCGAGCAATAGCGGTCAACAACGACCGCATGCCACTCGCGTCGAGAATGAGCATCCAGCACTACCTTCAAATTTCGCAACACGACAGCAGCACCAGTCTCAAAATCAACGGCAGGGCTCGCGCCGTCTGCATAGTCTCTCCTCCCGACGTAAGCTTCAAATTTAGTCAGTTATGACATTGAATGTTGTTAGACACACCAAAAGCTACAAGTTCCGACAGCAAAATGTGGACAAAAAAAGCTGTGGCCGTAGGCAGCCTTCGCATCACATATCATAAGCAGTTTGGACCCATAACGATGGGGCTTGTCAGACATAAACATTCGGGTCGTGTTTCGTTTCGACGTGGAGGGAGAAACGTCCTCATCAAACGAGAAGACGGAAGGGAGTGACCAGCCAGCCAGATATCGCTGCTGAATCTTGTCGACCACCGGGCACAACTTCCACAACTTATTGTAGCTGTGATTGGTCGTGTTGTCAACGAAGTGAGGATCGCGCATTATGTTCTGGCATCTATCACGAGTCATGTACCGGCCAAAAATACCTGCTGACACGGCGCTGTCCTTCACTATTGACCAGTGCGCGGAAAAGCCCTTCTTCTGAGGACACATCATGCGCGCGCTGAGAATGCCGACGGCATGCAGGACCTTGTGTGTGGCGTACACCAGGGCGACGATCGCTCGGCCGCCTGTGAATATCTTAGGCGCGCTTCTCTACCTGCGGAAGGCAGTACCGATTTGTCTCCGCGGCGATCGTCACCCACAACGATTTTGGCATGAAGTATAACAAAGTGAATAGTGCGGCCGCCATACGTCAAGCAGTTCGGCGACAGGCCTGGCCTCCTCCGTACCTAGTCCAGTATATACCGGAGTAGTAGTCTCATACTGTGTTGAAGCTGGACTCCACTTGATAGCCCGTCGAGCTTCCTCTCGTCCCTTGACTTCTGCACGGGTGAGACTGCTGTTGCCAACTGCAACGATGCAAGAAAGGCTTCGTCCATTTCGGCCGCATCGCGATCTGACAGCACATCGTCATCTTCGCTTGGCTCAGGGATGCTAGCATCGATATCACACACCCCATCGTCTTCACCTGCGCCTGAACTGTAGCTCTCGTAGTCATCGCTGTTTTCCCCGTCCACCAAATATTTAACGTCGCCTTTGGCTTATGACGGTTTTTTGGTCGTAGCCGAGGTCCAGGTGCTGCGACTCGCTCCTCGTCATGACCACTTTCTAGCCCAGAGACGTCTAAGAGCAAGTGCAAACCAGCACCGGCTTCGTGTTCCTCCTCGTTGACTGATAGATCACCTGGGGAGAGGCCAAATGCTCTCGTTACAGCAGCCTGGGACAACTCAACCTCATCTTCACTGGGCGGGCCGAAAATTTCAGCGACTGTATTCTGTGAGAGGTATACGCTGGTATCAGTCTGGGAGGTTCGAATTTCATTTACTTCTGCCCTTGTTCAGGTTCTTCATCTCGACCTTCATTCTCTGTACGCACTTCAGCATCTGTAGAAGGTTCTTCTACTAAACCGGACTTGAATGCGTAGTCTACGACGGCGATCTCACCTACGAACACATGGTTTTCATCATGACTTGAATAACGCCACTCGATCTGGAGTCGAGTCGGGCACTTTGACGTCGACCCCGCCGCCCGAAGCTGCCGCCAAAGGTGACCAATATCAATGTCGCGTGCAGCAGCAGCCTGAGCGGCAGGTTTCTTGCGTCGAACCGACCTAATGCGCGCCATCCAAGAGAATCTCGAATGAATAGTCAGTGCTACTTGTCGCGCATCCACTCACTACGACCAGGCTGACCCCCCCCGTCCAGGCTTTGTCTCGCTCATCAAACACCTCTCGCAGCTTATATCTTGTCAGTGCTGACAAAAGGCTTGATTAAAGTATTGAAAACCCAGTTCTGAGCCATTTCCTATTCTTCTTCTGGCAATGTCGTACATACTACCTTCGTCCCACAAGACATTTGACATTTGGTTTAAATGTGGTACACATTAGAGTGCTAGAGCCATTGGATTGGTCAGTTTATTTTATAATAGCCACAGCTAATTGGTGTGTTTTCATTATTCTCTTTAGGATTGGTGGAAAATGAACTAATGATTCGTTAAAGCTCCACTAAGTTCGATTTAAACTAGAATTTTCAGATTACATTTGTGATGAGTGGGCGATCCGTTTACAGTCGTGCACCTCCAATTCGGCACCGGTATCAGTCGATACCCTGCCAGATTTTATGATTACGCGAATCAGATGCGCAATTACCTTCGCCCATCACCACCCTAGCAATTAACCTCAACGATTTTCCCCTCCTCGCGGAGGGTTGACACGCCGCATCGATCTGATTTTAAATTTTGGATCGGACGTCTTCATACAAACACACACTTCGATTTTTACCGCCAAAGACAATGGGACATCGCCCTTCCTCCTACATGTCCCTAACTCTAGCACAAGTCAGATCCTGCATGCTCTCACTCCGAACTTGCTCGTTGGGCAACGGAGCTCAGCGTGAAGGAGTACAACTACCCGGAGGCAAACACCTAGTCGAGGGTAGCTGTACCGCTTCCAGCAGCGCACAGGGCTGTGGTTTTCGCAAACTCCCGCCTAATACAACTGCCGTACTGCAGCCCATGGACCAGGGCATCATTAAGTGCCTGAAGAATGAGTACCAGAACAAGAAGCAAGCCGCGGAGCTGGAACTGTTCTACAAGGGTGTTCCTTACACGCCGGTCGACGTTTACTCCGCCATGAAGTGGTTGTCTGAAGGCTGGAACAACATATCTGCAAAGACTATTAGAAACTGTTGGTGCCACACAGGCATCGTCTCAAAACTAAACATTAATTTAGTACTGAATTAACAAAAAAAGTATCAGTGCACTGGATTTGCGTTTGTTTTTTGCTTTACGTTGTGCACTTATGCCCTGGCACTGTTGATATGGTCCGCCCTGCCGAATTGGAGGTGCACGACTGTATATGCGTGGAGGAGCTTAATTTATGATTACGCCTTTCTAATTTCCAGCTGCGAAAACAAAACTAAAAAAGGTCACTTCATGAAGTGTGGCGAAGAGTTTCCCCTCGCACCCCAGAATCACCCAAACTGTGACAATGTTATCTTCCTTCGGTGACCCATTAAATTAGCACAGCAAAGTCGTAGCTGTAGCGCTCGTAACGAGCGTTC